GCTTGGGTCTGCGGTCACCACTGCCCATCGACCGCTGCCAGCCACAAACGCGCCGCAGGTGCCAAGGGTGCCTCCACTAGCTTCGCAACACTACTTGGGGTCCAGGGCTTCGTCGAATATTAAGGGAATATGGGGAGCCCTGACCAAGGTAGGGTTTTGAGAAATGAAAAACCCTAAACCCGAAACCCTAAACCCTAAATATATATATATATAGATATATATACATAAATGTGGTTTTTATGGCGGGTTAAGGTTTAGGTTTGTCCTCTTGTTAACTGCGCTCCTCGAAGTGTGTCGTTAGAATTGTGCTCTCCAACCTTTTGGGTACCCTCAATATCAGCATCTGCTCAAACTAGAGCTCTGGGACTGGTGCTGTTTTCTACTGACTTTGAGTTGCGAAAGGTATGGATGCGCTGCCTGTTTCAGCCAAAACGACGTACGAATTCTTGTGATGGGAATTCTGCCGCAGCTATAAGCCGCGATCCTTGAGCAACTTCTTCTCTTGCAGGCAAAATTCAGACTTCATCATTCTTGCTGACGAAGCTCGTTTTGCAAAAAATGCTGGCGTGGAAACAAGAATGTGGCATCTATCTATATGTTCACTGTGCAAAAAACTGGCATAAAACGGCAAGACTCACCAACCAGCCATTCTGCCAGAGTCTTGCGCAACTGAATGGCTCTCAAATGTCTGTGACGTTGCAGCACTAGATGCCAAGAATCCATAGAAACTACCTGAGACGTCCGTAAGGCGTTGCAAACAAGCGACCGTTGAGCTCGGGTGCTGACTTCAGCCCGTCGACTCGAACCAGGCAGCCTTCTCAGGGTTTGGTCAGATTGAGGACCTGGCGGTCTGTGGTTGATGTCGTTTTTCACTTTCTGATAAGAAAGCAGGACCAGCATAGGCCCAATACTTCATGATCGTCGAGGTTTCGCTGCAAGGATCCCTGACTCAAGATTCGCAACATGAAAACATCCCTGGATGTTCTGGAAACTGCTGCCCCTGACACTCTAACACCGGTTGCGCCATCTAACAGGGCCTGCTTCCAACACCAAGAGAGCCAGCTTATTTCCAAAAACTTGCCCTTACCGCGGAAAACGCACTCTCATCCTCTAGTCCTGCTTGAATGAAGCAGTCTTAAGAAACAGCGTCCTGTCTGAATCCGTTGCGGTACGCAGGCTGCTGCTGTGCCCAGAATTCCGTGTGAAGGTTTCAAAGTGTGGGACGTGGAGTATGCATCAAGCGACCACCCCGACAACCTTCTGGAGTTCATTTGGTCACCTGAATTAGATTCAACAACAAGGTCAAGCCAGCAACCCAGAAACCGTCTGGAGTACGAAGTGAAATCTCTGGTGTTGTGTGCCCTGCGTCTCCCTCGCTTCGGCCGTCCGCACTTCAACATATGTCCGATGGTTTACATCGACCCCTGCAACTAGAGCAGCATTACCCAAAGTGGGATTTCTGCAACTACAGTTAAAGAGAGCGGGGGAAAGGAAGCCAGAGAGAGAAACACGAGCGACTGTACCCTACTCCGACCGTACCCAAGCCCTATCTTGACCAAAAAGCGGTCGACCAACCCCAACCGAACCCGGGCTGTCGTCACCGTACCCCGAAAGTGCCCACCGTACCTAAGCCCTACCTGGGAGGCACATGAATTCATCGCTCACCCTCTTTTGGAAAGAACCTAAGCAAGAACCGAGCAAAAAATCTACTGCCCAAATCCGGAACTCACCCAACGGAATCTGGAGCATCAGCATATCTGCCGCATAGTTTTACTTGGACACCCCGTTGCTTTCCAAACCGATGGGGCCCAAACAGCTCACTCACACGGCGGATTCCTCATGACAATGGGACTACGGCTCCCCGCAGCCGACCACTCGGAAAGAAGAAATAGAGCTGTCGCTGTTCTTACCCCGAACACACCATCAGCCCCTAGTTGCCCCCAGCCTTGAATATGAAGATCCCAGTGCAATGCAGGTATCCATACTGCAAGTACCATTGCTACATGTATATATACATATATATATACTGATTACATATACAACTTCAAGAAGTGCCTGGAGCCAGCTCGCCACCTGCAGCATCACTCTCCTCCACTTCCAGAGCATCAGCAAGCTGCCGGAAGAGGATAGTGTAATCCTGAGGTTGCAGACGGTCTCACAGGACGGGGGAAGAGAAATCTAAGATCGTCTTTTTCGGGGTTCGTATTTTATCGTATTTGCAGGTTTGCAGCAATATAGGATTTATGTTGGACTGGCTAATGTAGGAATGGCAGGCGACACACTACAGTTGCTGGTGCCGATGCCCAGCACACCTTACGAAGAGCTGCCTACATGGGCAAGAATCTGAAAGCAAGGCGCTCTTCTTATGAGATCTCTTCTTGGACTCACTCTCGCTCTCGAAGACATGTTTATGGGATGCTCACACTGCCGCTGAGAAAACCTCTGATGACCCGCGAGGCTCGAATTTTGAAACATACCCGACATATCACTCAACTGTCAAACTCGCAAAACTCTTGCGGCTGACCCTTGTATCAGGTTACAAATTGGCACCTGAGGACCTATAGTCAAGACATCTCAAGCCCAAGCGTGGACAAGCAGCGTTTCCTAGCCGAAGCAGAATTCCTTCAAGTGTCCACGGATTCGACTAATCGGTATTTCTTAGAACTAGGATTCACGCATTTCCCCACAAATCAGAAGCCTCTCAGCAAGGACCCAACGGACAACATGCCCAGCATCTGCAGAGAAGCGCATCGCCGCCTCATGCATGGAATAGGCAATAGTAGTAGCAATGCTCACTTCAAGCCTCCATGACAGGATGTCCCGCGAGCAATCATTTAATGAAGGCCGCAACGCCTATCAACGTAAAGACGACGTAGCTTCCAATCCTTGCAGGAGTAGACCCAGAGCTGAGACTGCCAAGGTTGACGCTCACATGTGTCGCATCTTTTGGCGAGACGAGTTTCTTTACTCCAGCTGCCGTAACAAAAAACAAAGCTATCAACATGCCTTCGTGCGCAGCATGTCATGACACTCCAGCTTGTGAATTCATGCAACTTTCTGCATCAGCAGGGTTTCCCATGTTTTGTTGACAGGGTTCTGCATCATGTGCATATAGCTTGTGCTAGACCAAAGGGGGGATATGCCGAGATGGAAAAAATGGGAAGGCACTGCCCAGGAAGCAGGACGGCAAGTGTGCCCCTTGTTAGCCTTGTTTTGTCATGGTCACCCAAAAGGACAGCGAGTCTGGTTGTTCAAATCTGTCGCTCTTGACACGCACCGATTGACTCACTAGTCGTCATAGAGCTACTACACTCCAGAACTCACGGCCTGCACGTCGCGCCATAGATGGTCAGCCATCTCTGCAGTATCTCCGCTTACATTGCTGGGAAATCCCAGCTTGGCGCGCCACATCGAAGCGACTGTGCCAGTCATCTCCTGATCTCAAGAACTGTACAACAATCATGGTGATGGTGGGGACAGTGGCGGCGCGGAGGCAGTGGCGGCGGCGGCGGTGCTTTTCTTGTTTGCAGTAGCGGTGGCGGTAGAAGTATCTGCAGCAATAGCAGCAGCAGCCGTCGCAGCCGGAGCTGTTGCAGCCAACCGCAGGAGTAGTAAGTAAGGATCTCACTGATGACGAAGTGGTGGCGATACTATGATTGTGATGATGAATGATGTTGATGATCATCAGTATGACCATTCGTAATCCTTGCAAGAACACACACAATGATGCTTGCAATACAGGTCACTGAAACTACTGAAACTTCATGAGCCACCGGGAGATTTCCTGTAACAGCATGAACCGAGCAGAAGGATGATGCCTACCTCTTCCGCCCCCTAACATTGGGATCCACCCTGCTCAAATTGAACCGCTGTTGTCTACAGAATATGTCGGCCCGGAAAGGAATTTCTCAAGAATTTCTGCAGCTAACGAGGCCCGAAGCTTGAAAATTCATGCCAAGTCGTTCATGCTTGCCGAGTTACAGCTTTACTGCCTTGATGTCCGTGATTACGTTTCTCTTCTCTTTCCTTCTATCTGAAGCGTTTGCTGCCGTAAGAATCACTTTTGCAACGCCAAGCTCCGAGCTCAAAACCCCAAAGTTTGATCTCAAGAGACCCTGAAGCCGCAAATCTCCCAAACCAACCCCGCTCCTCTTGTGCTTCCTCGACAATCTCCTTTAGCACTGACCTTCACATCAGTTTTGAAGGATCGAATGCGCTCTTTCTATATATGTCATTGCTAGTTACATGATCTCCAGAAATTTAGCAAGCCCAAGGAAATTGCAGTAAGTTTCGCCCATGGACTAGACAAGTGCAGCGAAGGTCTTTCAATTCTTGCAATGTTCTCCTTTTAGCTCAGGTTGGGGAGCTTCAAGTCTAGCGGTAGCTAGGGACCCCTCAGAGTGAAAATCCCAGGTTTGTCCGGGTTCATTGGGATGGTATGGTTTTGACGTCTCCTTTTGGGTCAAGCTGGCTTTGCAACCTTAAAATTTGCTTGAACTGCATAATACTTTCATCAGCGAACTCATCCCTCGTACAAGGCAAACAGTAGCTTGAGAACCCCGAAGCCTGAGTTGGTGCTAGAAATCATTCTCTGAGTCTGACACGCTACGTCTGCTACTGCGTCTGCTACTGCTACTGCTATTACTTCTACTCCTACTCCTACTCCTACTCCTACTACTACTCCTACTACTACTACTACTATTACTACTGCTACTACTATTGCCACTACTACTGGCACTTCATGTACCATGCTCCTCAAGTCCTGGTGCTCTACAGCTCTACCACTCTTCAACTGTGCTACTCCCTTGCTCACTCTACCTAGTGAATCCACCAGTCTGACGCTCTTCCACCCTACGGCTTCGCTTTCCTGCTCCACATCACTTAGACGTGCCCTTCTCAGCTCTACCACTTCACCCTTCTACTGATTTCATCTTAGGACTTGACTATTATGCTGCCACTCCTCTTCCTTCAACTGTAACTGCAAGTCAACTGTTCCGAGCCGGGCAGCGGAGCATCCGGGCCCAGCACGGGCTTCATCGCAATTGCCAGGGTCATGAAATTTGCCAACCCAGCTTCAGGCTGGTTCCTGCCAAGAGGAAATCTCGACTGTCAAGTGCGACTAGTGGTAGCAGGCAGCAGTACCAGTCGCCATGCAACTGTAGTAGCAGTAGCAGTATTTGCAGCGGTGCCGTGATCATCTTCATGATCGTATCGTAGTAGCCGTCGCAGTAGTCGATAGCATAGTTGCAGGACCAAAAGTGAAGTCTAGGTCATGACCCATTTCACGTGTTCTCCTTGCCGGCTGAAAGCCGATTCTGCAGCTGTTCTGCAGGGATGCTTGGCCGATTTCTTGTCGCCTTTTTAGAGATCTTACCTTAACATGGCTTAGCTGGGTTTGGTTCTCATGCTTCACCGCAACACCTCAACTAGCTGATCACAGGCCTGCTGCCTGCATTACAAGAGACCCTGTCGATTTGTATGCTCTGAACACATGCATGGGCACATTATGTATCTGTACCATGCTCCAGGCATGCTCTCCCTGCTTAGAACGGTCGCTGCCTAGGGTCACTTGTGCTGCAGGTCTAGGGGCTTCTCAGCATTGTTGTTCTGGAAGAGCTGCATCACACGTACACGCAGCTTCCTTTTCACTGACTCCTAGAGTCCTACAGTCCTACATCACACGGATTGTAGAGGGGTCATCCAGTAAAGCTTTAGAACGAGGCGTCTTTTTGTGGCCTAGGTGGGAATGATTGAAGGGGTTCATCAGAAGGTGGGTCAATGCAACTTTCTCGGGCTTCTACAGGAATACTGTGGGGACTAGATAGGGCTGCCACAATTGCTAATCCCTTTCTGAAGGAGTGGACGGAAAAAACAATCTGAAACATTCCCCCTGCAGATCGCAGCAAGAAGCAACGCTACCCGCATTCTCCTTACTAAGGGGCCGCCAGTCCTAGCAGATTTTCTCTGACAGAAGCAGGATCATTCGGAATTCGGAACTCACACACAATTTTGCTCTTTCAAAGGACCTCCCACCTCTACGGGGCCTCACTGTTCATTGACTGTGTCCAAAGTTCAGACAACCCCGCGTGTAGCATGCACTTTGCGTCGCTCCTGAAGGCAAAGTGATTGCCTGAACCAACCCACTTGGCGAACAAGGGGTCGTATCCTCGGCGGCCACATCACATTCGATTGGAGCGAAGATTTTCATGAAAGAGCACGCCGCGATCATGTGAGAATTCCGCAAGCAGTCCTGTACAGGTTTCCCGGCAAGCAAGAGTTTCCAGCATGGGAAGGTAAAAAACCCCAAGCATGTTGTCAGGACCCCGACAAAATTATCCGAATTGGTTCTGCCCATCTCCTGCTTCTGATAGAACCCCAAATGGATCCTGCAAGCTGTGATCCCCAAAACCTAATCCTCAATCAACCTCCCTGTTCTACCTCTCTCATCCAAGCAGCGCTCAATCCATCCAAAGGGGCCATAATCCATCGTCCGGCCACCTGGGCTTGCCCAAAATGATGGGTCCCCCCTTTAAGAGCCCTCTGATATTGAGGATTTCATGAACCCCTGCCAGTAATGCTTGGGTCACATGTCCCTGCTGTTTCGGGCTACATGGGTGGTGGGGTGTCAGGTGGTAGGGGTGGTACACCACATGCTTACCAGGTGGCATACCAGGATTGGTGCCCGAAAAGGGCCCAGCGGTTTGAGACTAATCCATACAAGCCTGTCAGACGCAGGCACCCACCAGACAGTTGTCGGCATTGAAGTTCCCCTGACAGAAGCCAACTCGAAGCCATCCAGCAATCCTGGGCTTGGAGCCATGCATCCCATGCATAGGGTGGAGGCTGTGGAGTTAAGGGTCTGGGTCTTAATCTTGGTGGTTTGGTGTTTGAGGTGTAGTAGGGATAAGGATTAGGGCTTAGGGCCAAGGGCTGCTGAACGTGTAGGCTTCTTGAGGGTTTGAGGCTGAGGGGGGCACGCCGCGTCCTGATGTGCAAGTTAAGCGTCTTGGCGACGGTCGTAAAAGGATTACACGTCTCAACTTTAGTGGATGGCAAGATCTAAGTGATTAGAATCAGTTTTGATGAAATGTGCTTCAGGCATCTTATACTGCAGTGACATAGGGTTGCACGGACGACACCGGTAAGGTACAAACCTAGTTCCCAAAGAGGCGAACCCCCTTTGGTGATATATGCTCCTCGTAGGACAACGGAATCCTTGCGAGACTCTCTAGGCTTTGAGACTGCAAAAATCATGCTCAAGCTACCGTTCTAGCTGTTACCTTTGTTACTATGAGCTTGCGACACTTAAAGCTATCGCCATGATAGGAATAACATGAAGCAAGCCGCAGGAAGCTCGGCTACCCTCACTGCTCCAACCCTCTTATGGATGCAGGAACCCCTGCACTGCTTCATTTACATATCCGGTATGCTTGGAATTCACGCACTTTGGAAATCCTAGGTGGTGCGAGGTTTCCTGTCCGCCGCAACTCATGCGTACAAAAGAATACTGTTCCGCACATCTCTTAGAAAGTTTTGCCCTAAGAATAACCAAGTATATCTTGGGACTCTTCAACATCATGGGTCCTGTCGTGGGAGGCTGGAGAAGTGGTCTTCGGACTTTGGTTGAAGCTGGGTCTCTGTGAAAATTAGAGTGTCAGATAATCCTCCAACTCTAGCATCCGCACTGCAGAGGCGCCGCAACCTCTCACAATACAAAGACGATATTCCTACGACATCCCTGACTAATCCCTACATAATTGGCATCTACCGCAAAATCGCAACCCCCAAGGTTCCAGCCCCGAGCCCTAAGCAGAGATCTCAGGAACATCGATCATGACATGGAGTAAATCTTGAGTCTGTTTGTCCGCCTGCAATTTCTGCACATCCCCAAGCTGCTTCACGCGTTATGCAAATCATTCTATGCCCCTTGATAACGACAAGCACCTCAAGGTCAGGGCCAGCCAAGGCCAAGCCACAGAATGCTGAAGCGCTTGGCTGCCTGGAGTCAGAGTAATGCTTCTAGGGAGTTTCAATGAATGAGACGGTTCGGGCTCCTCGCTGCTCCCTGAAGTGGAAAAACTCAACCAGTCGAATCACACTTGACATGCTTGTTGATAGCAGCGATGACTCCTTGAAAAATGCAAAGCAGAATCGCTGTCACCCACAACGTCCTCACTTGAAGAGCAGAGCCGTCTCAAATCCTGAACTCTGTACACCGGATCCCCGAAGACCGAAGACATCCCTCCCTCCTGGCGGAGCATTGCTGCGACTCGCTGTGGCAGCGGTGCTCCAGGCAGGCAGTCCTGTTCGATCGCGTTGGCAGTTGTTTTCTCTTTGTTCGGGGGTTGTGAGTTGTGATCAGGAAAAGCTTTAAGCTTCGAAGGACTTTCTGTTCATGTGGACCTGAGGAGGGTGCAGCTTCTCTACAAAAATGATCGCTGATGAGGACGTGTCTGGTCCTGTTCCCCCCAAACCAATATCCCTGCATACGTACGGGGTAGTTACGGGGATTCTACTAATGCTACTAGAGCTATCTTTCTGGACTACATGGTTTGATTGCTCTTACCTGTCACTGTTCTCCTTGAGCCAGTGAGCCGACTATTACTGGATTGTAAGCAATGCTGCTGTGTAGTTGTTCAGGGAATGGTTCCCAAGGTAGCACAGCTATGAACATACACAGTATAAGTGCGAGAAGTATCGCTTCAAGAGAATGAAAGCTAAAGGTCAAGATGCTAAGAAAGCTATCCCTGGACTTCCAACCATGATCAAGGAGTGCTATGGTAGAGTTCCAGAATGCATCATCCTTTCAAGGGGATCCCACGGTCACGGTCTCCTAGTAGTCATGACATATCAATGTAGCACACTGAGAAAACCCCACCCGGATCTGTAACGCTTTGTCTGCAAGGTGCAGGATACTCGCGGAACAGCGCGTGCTCCACCATCATCTCATGCTCCTGTGCCGAGAATGAGAATGAGCATTTCTCAAGTTGAGAAGCTGCTCTACGCAGCACAGAATGATAAGGACCTGTAAAGACTACCTGCTGGCTGTCTTGTTATGTAGGCTCCATTTGAACTTCCACAGAGCAAACGAGATCTGAAGCACCAAACCCTGCAGACCTCGCGGCATAAGATCCACAGGAAAGCTCAATAGATGGACCCCAACATAAGGGCTGCTCGGGAGTGCGCCTGTTGCTCTATAGTGACGACCAATCTCCACACTCATCTTTCTACAGCGCTTCGCCTTATCTTCGATGTCCTCGCTACCATATCGCTAGATGCTCTTCTTGGCCTTCATACATGACCTATCCATGCATTTTGCAAAGAAGTTAGTTCCTGTAAAAGGTTATGCATGGCCTTGATCTGCTCTGGCGTCGCCTGAGATGCAGTACCGAGGAAGCAGACATGCGCAGATCCAGATCCAGAAGCTGTGCCCCAATCGACACTCAGGCATTTCCAAAGGCAATCCAAGGTGCAGAGGGTTGGCTGGCTCTCCTGCGCACATATTATCACCACTAGCAAGGATGCAGTGCTGGCTGCTACAGTAAGTGCACCTCATTTAGCCTGCCATGAGGTCGAAGGTTTTCAGTCCAATTGCTTGGCCCAAATTCTGAGGAACACCCGGCAGGATACCAATCAATCAATGACAAAGCTCCTGGCGAAAAGGTCGACGTGCCCCACTCGGAGGAAGCTCGGGGCGACGCGGGTAGTGATTGCGCAGGGCTCGTGGATCATCATATCCTGCTAGGAAGCATTCTGCTGATATTCTGTCATCGTGAACCCAAGGGGTGCCTGGCAAGTGCTCCCTTGTTGACTCTCTTTGCAGCATGGTGCAAGCCCTGGTGTTGGTTGATCTTTGACGGCCCGATTGAGTTTCTACTGCTGTTTCTGCCTAGATGTTCGTGTCTATGATCCCCTGAGGGCAGTCTGGTTCTTGGTTAAAATGATCAGACGTAAGCTCAGCAATCACGTAATAGAACACACTCGCTCTCACAAGCTCCCCATGCAGTTCTCCATATGCCGAGCAGCTGGATCCCTTTCACGGTTTTCGCTGGAATACCTGGGCAAATGGAAGACATGGCGAGCTTGCATGCCTGGCTGCAGAAAAAGATTTTGAAAGAGGCTGTGTAGGTAACAGATGTAAAGAGAGCGAGAAGAACACTGTACTGTAAGACACCTCAAGCTGTGATGGCTGAGGTCACGCTTCAGACAATAAACGGTTTTACATACATCCTAAGCAAAAGACCTCTCTAAACACCCTTGTCGTTACTGTTCTTGGATGCGAGTCTAAAGGGGGATAACATACGTGGTGGTCTAGTGGCCACGGTCGCTCTGCCATCTCCCCTCCATCAGACAGGACGAGTGAAAGAGCACGAGTGGTGTCCACCCCGAGGTGATACATGGCCTCCGCGCATGGGGCAGCTTGTTGATGTACATGCCATGACCATGGCCAATAGGCTTGCAATTTAAACATGAGTGCTATTCTGTTTAGCATGATGCTGGTATTTTTGGGCTTGGCTACAAATCAGCATGACTGTTTCTACGTACCATCCTTCTTACTAACACTACCCGCCTCACTTCTGCAACTCCCTTGATGCTGGAGACGGGCCAATGCCTGCGTCCCTAGAGATCCCTCCATGCAAAACATAGTTAAGACTGGCAAGATTCTGGTAGCATACATACGTCCTCTGCATATCTGTGCATTCTCGATAAGAACACCAAGCGCAGTAGGCTGCAACCGACCCACGAATCTGCAGAAGGAGTTTGTGAGGAGGCACTATCCCTGCAGGCCGCAGGTTACTCAGTAACCCATGCATCAAGCCCTCAACTATCCACGAAGTTTCCTTCTGACCTCCGGGCAAGCGCTATGTGAACCCTGTATACAATGATTTGTGCCTGATAAATGTTTGCATCGCTCCGTGCAAATCACTGCAGTTGGATTGACTGCATCCCCGATATCCCCTAGCCCCAAGCACGTAACATCTTCAAGAAAAACCATCAATCTGCAACCCTTGGTTGGCCCCTGAAAGCATTTCAAAAATATCTATAATATATAGGGTCCCCTATTAAAGCCATTAGGGAAAATAGTAAATATCCAAGAAACCTACCCAGAACCCAGTCAGCACTCTAAACCCTAAACCCCAAACCCCTAAACCTCTAAAGCCCCGCCTCCGAGGCCAGGAACTCGCGAATGGACGAGCGCAGAACTGCGCGGCCGTCTGCGCCACGGCAGAATGGGGTCTGCCCACCACCCTGGCTCAGGGCTAGCAGGGCTAGGTGGGTGGGTGTTGGAATTAAGGTTAAGGCACAGGGGTTTAGATGTGTTCTGAGACACTGGTGCCGTCTGTGACAGCTATGAGAGGCTGAAAGTGGCACGCCTTGGGCGTCCTACATTGGGAATCATGTGAGGGAATCACGTGAGGGAATCATTGGGATCTTAGGTTGGCATGACCAAACGCAAGTTTTCTATAATGGCTGCTATAACATACAAACTAAATTCTATTTCCTACCTAGCTCAAGGTATCGGGTTTGGTTAAGGTCATGGGCTCGCTCAGGTTGGTACGGCTTGGATCCAGGATTTAGGGCCGGCTTGTCCAAACGCACGACAACTGTAGATCTGCCCGCCTTTGCTCCGGGTTCAGGGTTTCTTTAACAGAAAGGCTTCAAGTTGATGCAACAAGAGAAGCTAGATCAAATTATTTAGAGGCAGATTGATCCAGAGGTTTTGGTGAGATTGTGCGGGTATCCTGTTGATCTTACAACTACTCCTTTCAGGCTGGCGATAGCAATGCTAGTTCAAGATGCTGATCTCGTTTGTAGGAACCAGGCCCAAAATACATGGGAGTCTCTCAAAACAGTCTCTACACAATCCTTACTTAGGCGGACCGCGATGATTTTGTGATGGTCGTATATCTTTAAGGCCACTACACTCCCGGCAACCCTCGTTTAATTTCCTCATTCTCAGGAGTGCCTGCACATTCTCCTTCCGTCTGGGACACCTCCATTTGAGAGACCGCACTATGAAACGCAATGTAGACGCCTGATGAACAAACCCTGCTCACTAGTATGAATACTTGACATCAGAAAGCTCGGGTCCAAGTTGGGCATGATCAACAAAAAGGGCACCCATCCCTGAAACCATGGCCGTTGCCATGCACAAGAAGCTCTTGCCCCAGACCCATAACATTGGTAATGATACCTATAAGCCTGGCTTCAAATCTAAGTTTCCACTTTCTTCACCATTCGATGATCCATTAAAAGTGGCAATATCCCTATGTATCGCTCACTTCCCCTGAATTCACCTATATATGCGTCTGCGCTCCGCGTTCCCACCCCCCCCATGGTATCCCACCCCCACCCGGCCCCCCTGATGCTTCAA